TTCTGGGCTTCCGGAGGCCTTCGAAGCACGGGCCGCCCTCTGCGCCGAGCTGTTGAGGGAACAGACCGAGATGTCCAAGCACGCGGCGCTCGAGCTGCTGGTCATGCTCGGCACCTACGCGCGCCCAGGAGAGGTGCGCGCCTTGCGCGCTCGCTGGTTGGTGGCGCCAGCTCGCAACATCGGCCGCCGCCGGGTCCTCGTCGGCCGGCCACGCGAGGGCCGCGTTCCATCCGAAGTCGGGCGTTTCGGCGACGCCGTGGAGCGGAACCGCCCTCGTCTCCAGTTGGTCGGGAGCCCCTTCAGCCAGATGAAGGAGTGGCGCCTGGTGGGGGATCCTCTGCGGCAGTGCACCCGCGAGGGCTTTGCCAGGATGGCCCAGAAGGCGGCGACCGAGGTCGGCATGCCCCACACGGTGCCAGACTTAGCCCGCCAAAGCGGGGCCTCGATCGACGCTCTAAACCACTTGACCGCTGGGGGAGATTCGAAAGAGGGGAAGATGGCAAAGTATGAGCAGCGTAGCGCGATGCGAAAAAGGAAGGCGGATCCCGGAGAGGTGGCAGAGCTTGCCACAACCTTTCAGAGACTACGCCACCGCTTGCGCCAAGCATCCCAGGGGAAATTCACGGGCCAGAACAGGTTCTCCAGGGTGCCGACGCTGCCGGTGATTGGAGCGTGGAGGACCTCTTCTCGGGCAGCGGAGGTTCGCGAGGTCCGTGAGACAGATTGGGGGGGTGATGTGTTTCGATTGGCGCCAACCACGGGCCTCAGCATGATCTGACCAAGAGAGATGTCCAGGCAAGAGTGATCGCTCGCCCTCAGAAGCTCAAGTGTAAAGGGGCCTTGATCGGGAACCGTCTTGCCCGCGTTTCTCTTGGATTTTTTTCTCTGCCGTAAGTTGGGGAAGGTTTATGTGATCGAGAATCCCCAAACCTCGATGCTCTGGCGCCTTCCCAGCTTAGAGAAGGCAGCCTCGCTCTCTAAAGTTGCATTTCGTGACGCCCATGTCTGTCAATGGCGGGCCGAGTGGCAGAAGGCCACCCGATTCATTATATGTAATGCTGTTAGCAGCCCAAGGGATCTTGAGCGCAGATGCTGAGGTCTAGAAATTCGCAGTAGAACGCAGTTTGCACACAGAGCCCTTGAAGCCCAGGCCCCCGATGGTCGTTTCTGGAAGCTAATTGCGCAACCCTATCCCCGGCCCTTGTGCACATGCCTAAGTAGACTTTTCAAGCCACGCTAAACAGAGCACACATGCCATCCGGGATTTGCTGGTGTGTGCGATTCAGGGAGTGTGTTTTGCCTAGCTGCCTCCGCGTGTCGCAAGGCAGCGTGAGGACGAAGCCCCCCCGAGTGAACTCCAGGCCTGATTTCACAACAGAGCCTGCTGCTGCGTGGAAAATGTCATGGCTGGGCGGGCTCTTTAAATGACAATGTGAAAGGTTCGGCGTACAGCCATTTATCCATCGCCGCTCCTTGCTCCCCACCAACTACCGCCCTTTTTAATTGGAATGTGTTGTGCCGTGCTGCCTCTGCGTGTCGCAAAGCAGCATGGGGACGAAGCCCCCCCGCGAGTGAACTCCAGGCCTGACTCCACTACAAACCTGCTGCTGAGTGTAAAATGTAAATGGTTTTGGCTTCTTCGGGCCTTCCTGGAGGTCTTCTTGGAGGCCTCTTGGGTCGTCTTCAAGGCCTCTTGGGGGCACCTTGGACCGTCATGGAGGCTTTTTGGGCCGATTTGGAGGCGTCTTGGACCCTCTTGGGCCGTCTGGGGGGCCATCTTGGACCATCTTGAGGCCGTCTTGGCCCTTTGGGAGGCATCTTAGAGACCATCGCTGACCATGTTGGCCATCTTTGAGGCCATTTTGAGTCATCCTAAGCGACAAATCGGACGAGAGGGGCACCCCAGCGGGACGCGCCGAAACCCCAGGGGGAAGTTCTTTTGGCAAAAAACAAAAAACAAAAAAAACGATAGATTTAGCACGCCAGGCACCCCTGTGGCAAGCCATCAGGGGGGCGCGGATCTAGTGGCCTTCGGCCCGTCCCGCCGCCGCGCCGGGGCGTTGCAGGCCAGAGGGCTCCAGGACGCATGCCTTTGGAGGTCGCTCACATGCCTTTCGGAGGCGGTTATGGGAATGTATGTGTGCGTCTTTGGGGTTTCTTGGGGCGTGATTTGGGCCTCTTTGGGGCCTCTTGGAGCCTCTTTGGGCACGCCTCGGGGGCTTGTTCGGCGATCTTGGTGATATCTTGGGGCGGAGGGCTCAAAATAGTGTCAGTTCGTGTCCCCCATATTGGGCCTCTCGTGGGCTCTTGGGGCCGTCTTGGGGGCTTCTTGGGCCCATCTTGGGGGCTCTTGGGCTCTTGTGGGGCGATGTTGGGTTCCACTTGGGCAGTCTTGGACGCTCTAGAGACAGAAAATGCGGCAATGCGAAGACCATACAACAACGAATGGATAACTGGGCTCTTGGGCCTGTTGGGCCTCTTGGGCCTCCTGGGCTCTTGGACCGCCCTCCTGGATACCTGTGATTCTGGCCTCTTGGGCCGCCCTCCGGGGCCTCCAAGACGGCCCCAGAGGCGCGGAAGAGGGCTCCAGGACGGTGCCCCGGGGACACGTCAACCCATGTTGGACACGCATGCCCCGAATCACGCGCTCATGTCCTTTCGAGAAGTCACGCGGGGACCCCGCAACAGCGCCCGGATGCGCCCGGAACTCCATGCTGCGGGCCCCTTACAATTTTTCTAGGATTCAGTGCAGAGAACTCGAAGGGACCTGAGGATATCTATGTCCATCTCTGTATGTATGATGCGTACGGCGTGGTGTATGTAAGCGCGTGCGTTTGGACCTTTGGCATGTCCCGCCACCGTGCTATGGTTTCAGGTCAAGGGCCTCTTGGATGCCTGTTGGGATATCTTGGAACGTCTCCTCTCGGGGTCCTCTCGGGGTCCTCTCGGGATCCTCTCGTCTTTGTGGCCTCTCGGGGGCCTCTGGGGGTTCTCTTGGGTCCTGTATTGGGCCTCTTGGGGGTCTCATGGAGCTTTCAAGGGGCCTTCTTGGGAGCCTGCTGGCGGTCTCGGAGGTCGTCTTGGGGCGGAGGGCTCGAGATGTCGGTTCGTGTTCCCCCTTTGGACTCTTAGGCCGTCTTGGGGGCCTGTTGGGTCGTCTTGAGGGCCTCTTGTGCCGTCTGGGCGCCCTCTTGGGTGCCCTTCTTGGGCCGTCTTGGAGGCCTCGTGGGCCGTCTGGGGGCCTCTTGGGCGTCGTGGGGCGATCTTTGGGCGACTCGGGGCCCTCTGCGACCGTTTTTGCGGCCTCTTAGGGCCCTCTTGCCCCGTATTGGCGGCCCGCTTGTGCCCGAGAATCTCACGCGGGAAGCGCCTTTACATGTACATGCGCAAACATATACATGCATACACAGTCAAACTTGTAAGTGTGTATAAATATGCATCTGCAACTACATATGCAGAGCCATATGCATATTACCTCAACGTCTACATACATACATATGCGTATACGTATGCATTGCACAAGCACATACGCATACACGTATACGTATATGTATTCACATACAAATGCATATGTGTAGACACATACTTATCAACACACAGATGCGTATGCATGTATATCTGCAATTGCATATATGCCGGCATTTACATTTACACATGTAGACACGTACGCGTAACCATACACATACACAGACATTTACATATACCGATCCATGTATCTATGAATTTCTACATGTACACATACAGTTGCGCATACATACACATACACATGCAACTGTGTACACACTCACACACTTTTACATGTACAAGTACACAGACTCGTGCACGTGCACATACTCATACAAACGCATACATGCACCCATGCCCATACCAATACCTATATCGGCACATTCACATACACATTTACATATACATCCACCTATGTATACGCACATAGACATGTATACGTACATTGACGTATACACATGCACCTACACATACACATGCACTTATGTGTACAAGTATATCTCACCAATATATGTAGCTAAGCAGATACGTATACAAGTACCAGTACGGAGACATGTGCATATACATCTACATATGATTATTTAATAGATGTGCGCATCCCGAAACTTGCAGGTAGATGTATCTGTGTATATTGATACGCATGCTTGCATACATCGGTGTTCTGCCCATCGCGCCACCGTTCTTGGGTGGTGGGCAAGCGGCCTCGTGGATGCTTCTTGGGGTCTCTCCGGAGGGCTTTCGAGATGCCTCTTTGGAACAGTTCTGAAGCCTCCTGGGAGCCTCTTCAGAGCTTCTTGGAAGCCTCTCGGAGCTTTATGCGGGCCGCCCGGGGGCATCTCTGGGCCTCTTGGGGAGACTCTTGGGGGCCACTTGGGGCCTCCCCGAGGCCCCTCGGGTCGGTGAGCTCGAAATGTCGGTTCGTGTTCCCTCTCTGGGGCCCTTCCTTGGGCGTTCTTGTGGCCCGCTTGGGCCGTTTTGGAAGCCTCTTGAGCTGTCGCGGGGTCCTCTTGTGCCGTCTCGGCGCCCTCTTGGCGGCCTCTTAGGCCGTCTTGAGGCGATCGATAGGGCCTTTTGGGGCGTCTTGGAGCGTAAGGAGGCCGAAAAGGCAGAAACTTGAACATCTGTCAGAACCTTATGGAACTCAATGTATTTTGCCTCTTGGGGCCCTCTTGGGAGTGTTCTTGGAAGCCTCTGGGGCCGTCTTGGAGGCGTCGTGGGCCGTCTGGAGGCTACAACTTGGGCTTCGTTGAGCGAGCTTTCGGCGAGTCTTTGGGCCGTCTTGAACTGTCTGGGCGGCCTCTTGGGGCGTTCTTGAACCCGTTTCTGGGGCCTCCTTGGGCGAGGGGACCGTCCAGGAGGGCCCACGCGGGTCACCCTGGGCGGAGGCGCCCCGGAGCGCCCAGCAGCGCCCGGGAATTTCAGGAATTTCGTGGTCCGGCCTTCCCATCCTCTCTCCAGAAGTGCATGAGCCCTGGGGCGCTCCACTTTGTGCCCAGGGCACGGTGGCGGATATACGTTACGTAGTTTCAAGCATATGGATGAAAATGATGTGCATGTAAATGTGTAGATATGTAGCGGTACCATGGATATCTCGAAGACGGTTTATTCCCCAACAGCTACTGCTTTGTAGCATGCTTCATGTACTTTGCGTGCAGTCGATCTGCCTCGCCCTCGCTTTGTAGTGGGTTCGTGGTCGTTCACGGCCCGGTCTGGGATCTAATATTCCATTTTACCTTATTGTTCCGAATGCCGGACAGCGTTTCGGTTCCCAGCTTTGCCTCTCTTCCTTCATCTTCGCTTTAGTTTGTGTGTTTTTGCTGGGGCTGGTGCACCCCGTCCCCACGGAAGGCATTCTTCCAGATACTGGGGGGCTCTGCGCACCGGGCCGATTCACGCGCTACGGCGTGCGTTCGCAGAACGAGCTTGGTACGCATCCTAATTCGTTTGCAGCATTGCGGCGCGTCGCACGGTCGAGCATCTTTTGGGCCACGGTTCAGTGCATGTGCTTGCCCATTGCACGTCGGCTAGCGTGGTGTTCCCAGTTTGCCTGGCGACCTTGTGATTCGCACAGCGGTCGAGGCCGAGTCGGGTGAACAGCTTTGTTGTCGCGCTCCCTCCTCCTCTCCCAAAAAAAATCGAAGACGCCTACGGCAAACCACCGCCGCCCCCTGCCTTCGGAACCACCACGCTATGTGTTCCTCGAGCCTTTGAAACCCTTCGGGGGACATCTGGGAGAGACAGAGGGGAGGAGAGGGAGAAGGACGAGGTGGAGGAAGAGGAGGTCTCTTGAGGGCCCCTTGAGGCCTTTGAGGGCTTCCTGGGGAATCTTGGGGGCCTCTAGGGGCTTCCAGGGGCCTCCAGGAGGCCTTTTGGTGCCTCTTGATTGCCTCCTGGGGGCATCTAGAAGACCTCTGGAGGCTTATGCGGGGACGCTTGGCCTTCGGATGAAGCATTTGGAGCCCCATCTTGCTGTCTTCGGGCCATCTTGGGACGCCTTTGGGCCGTATTGGAGGCATTTGGAGCCGTATTGAGCCGTCGGTAGCCCGACATTGCGAGAACGCTTGAGTTATTGAAAAGCATGTCCTGATTCTAGCAAGCCCCACCGAAATCTTCGGCGTTTGTGGTCGCTGCTGCAGTATGCTCTATCAAATTTTGTCTGGTTCCGTGCTCTTACGTCGGCTCGCATGTTGCGTTCGACAGGGCGCCATTAGTCGGTCGTTGCTGTTGTCTACAGTCTTAGATTATGTTTGGTCCAATTGTGTTTTATGACTGCCTGCTCGAAAAGGCTGTTTTTTGTTCTCGACGGGCCGGTGGTACGTCGCGACGCCTGTCACTCTTGCGTGTAGCCGAGTCACGTTTGATACGTCGTCCAATCGGTCGTTGCTGCGCCTCTTTGCTCCTGTTGCCGGCCTGGCCTCTGTGCGCACGTCGCGTGTTACAAGACGCCCTTTCCATCGCGCGCCAATGATTTAGGTATTTTTGTTTTGAGCCATGTTTTGTGTTGAATTGAATATGTGTTATTGCGTTATGTCATGCTAGGACACCGCCGACGATGCTATATTTTAATTTACCATGCCATTGTGCATCACGTGCGATTGCCTATATATATATATATATATAGTCGCTCTGTATTGGTATACAGTGTGCCATATTGTCAGTATCGTCATTGTGTGTTATGTTCGCGTGAGCTATCCCATCATACGTTCACCATCGAACATCTAGTACATTCTGGAATCACAGTCACAGTGTGTTTATTAAGTTGTTACTGTGTTGCTCTTTCCTTCTGATATTGTCCTCCAGTTACGGCTTGTTTTGCATGTACTTGCAAATCCATGAAAGTGCAGCCTCATGCATGTATGTGTTGTTACGTTTGTAGTTGTGCGACACCGTTTGCTATGGTTGGCTGCTGAAGGATATCCGATCTCTTCCATGCATGACAGTTGAAATGTCTACTGCGTTTGTGTACTACGCTCGATCCCGTGATGCTGCATGATCGCGACTGTTCTTCTGCCTTGTACGATGTCACGGTCTGTTATGTCGTGATATCCGTCTTCAGTTATTGTGTTACCATCGCATGTTATATGATAATCGTTGACGTCGTGGTATCAGCCGTAGAACAAGTGTAGTATGTTATCTTGGGTTATGTTATGTTATTTTAGAGTCGGCCCAAATCTGTCACAGTACGATGGGTTGTGGTTTGTGATGGCATGTTAAGTGGTGTTGTGTTATGCGTTGCTCTGCTCAGTCATCCCATGTTATGCTAGGACATCGTATCTGTTGTTATACTGTGGTCTGGGGTACGCTGGTCATGTTGATAGCTTATGTTCTGCGATGTTCGGATCTAACTCGTCAATTGTGTCATATTCTTTGGTCTTATAGTAGAGCCGCTTCCATAGGGTAGCAATGGTAGAAGTATTATTGCATGTTGTGGTATGGTCTGTTAGTTTATACTCGGCGATGCCCCTTTCCGTCACAGTATGATTAAGTATGTAGTAATATTGAATGTTTGTTGATTGTGTGGCTGAGCATGTTTTGCTATGTCATAGTCGTGCCTGGTATGCTATATTGTGGTATGTTATAGTGTAGCTTGCAATGCTGGGTCCAGTATATCCGTAAGGGCTTCGCCCCCAGCCGCCGGTCCACTCTCTATCAGCATGAGATATATGCGTCTCGGCGCTGCCTTGGCGCATCTGGGAGCATCATGCGGGGAAGGATCGGAATCGTCAGCGCACATTGCGACGTTAGCATCATCCGAGTGGCCTTCGGCCCATCCCGCCACCGGGCCTGGGTTGTGGGTCTGAGACCTCTTGTATAGGTGTTGGCGTGTCGTGGGAGCCTCACGGGGGCCTCTTGGAGGCGGTTTGGGCGCCGCTTGGGGGCCTCTTGGGGCCTCGTGGGGTATTTCAGTTGCCTCTTGGAGGCCTCTTGGGCGCGTTTTGCGCGCCTCTTGGGGCCTCTTGTGGCCTCTTGACGGCCTCTTGGGGCCTCCGGGGGGCTTCTCGGAGCTTCTCGGAGCGCGTCTTGGGCCGTCTTGGAGCCCTCTTGGAGGCGTCTTGGGCTGTCTTGGGGTGGTCTTGGGAGCTTCTTGAGCCGTTGTGGAGCGTCGGAAAGCCGAGCATGCGGTAAGGCCCAAATCCTTCAAGAACCTTTTATTAAATCGTCGATGGTGGCCTCTTGGGGCTCTCTCGGGAGGCCTGCTGGAGCGCTCTTGGGGCCTCTTGGGGCCCTCTTGGGCCGTCTTGGAACCATCTTCGGGCGCCTTGGAGCACTCTTGGCCTCGGCAATGCGACATGACGTAACTTGCAAGGTTCATGGCCTCGGGGACGCGACTATTGTGTAATGCATCGTGTTTGTTTTGTTTCGGGGACGCAACAATTTGTACTATGCTATGGCTTATGGCCTCGGGCACGCGCACATTGCGTAACTTAAAGAGGATTACGGCTTCGGGGCCGCGAGTCTGTTGTAAGTTGCAGGGTTTGTTGCATCGGGTGTGTGGCATCGGGGACGCGAATATCGCGTACTTTACGACAGATTATGGCCTCGGGCGCGCGAGTCTTAGGTAGTTTTACCTGAATTCAGAGAACGCGATCCCGGCGTGGTAATTTTCTGGTTTGGGGCTCCCCCATCTCGCGCGGTCTTCAACAATTTACAGTAGGAATCAGAAAGCAGAACTCTAACACTGGAGACTTGAAACTGCAACTGGTGCAGGTAGAAGCAACCTTGCCATGCAGCCTGGTGGCCCCACAAGGAGGCCAGCGGGTTGTGGGTTGCTATGTTCTGTTCCGTTATGATCTTATCATTCAAGTATTTGGCCATACTATATAAGATGCGTTGCCGTAGTGGAAACGGTCGTAGAACGGCTCGTGCATGTAATGTGAGTTGTTTTGGGTTGTGCACTCGGTGAAGATCCAGTCTGTCATACGATATTCAGGTTGTGGCAGGCTATGGTATGTGCTGCTATGGTTTGTCAGTATATACTGTGCCATGGTATGGTATGACATGCTCTGTTATGGTATGGTATGTTCTGTCTTGTCACTATCAAGTGAATTTAGTATGGTATGATATGGTTTCACATGATATGTTATGTTATGGTACGGCCTTCGTATGTCTGTTGCGAAAATATTTACATGTATACATATATATATATATGTGTGTCAGCTTGTGCTGTGCGCTATTGATGCGGATTCTTCATGCCTCTTTGCTCATTCGTTGTGACTCTTGGACGGCGTGACGCTGTGACGCCTCCCCCTTGGGGCTGTCTGGTATGCAGGGTGTCGCCATTTGTCGAGGACGCGAGGCGGGACACTCAGGGACACTCGGGATCCTGTTGGGGTCTGGCGACTGCGGTATAGAGTCGGCATTCGTCGAGGACGCAAGGTGGGATACTCAGGGGCATTCGGGATCCTGTGGGCTATGGCGACCGTTGTATGCAGGGTGGGCTGACGGGAGTTCTTTTTTTCCAACATCTAACAGCACAAACTTGTCGGGTGGGGAACCCTGTGGGAATCAAATCTTGGGCTTTCTGGAGGCGATCTGGACGTCCTCTAGGAGAAACTTGGGGGCGTCTCAGGGTCCTATTGGGCCGTCTTGAGGCCATGCTGGGCCGCCTTGGATCCACCTTGGGCCGTCTTGGATGCATCTGAGGGTCACCTTGCGCCCTCCTCGAGTCATCTTGAACATCATCGAGGCGGCTTGGGGCCGTCTTGCAAGCCATCAGGGCATCTTGGAGGCATCTTGGAGGCATCTTGGAACGATCTTGGGCTGAAAAACAATTTGAGGGCGCATTTTCCGGGAGGCCGGCGGGTTGTGCCGGAGGCCACTGGGCAAATTGTCGAAAGATTGAATTATTCGATTGATTCGATGTGGATTTCAGTTCTTGGCGTCTCCGTTTGCGCGTGCTGCGTTAGGGGGCCCCCTCCTGGCGACGAGCAGGAGGAGGAGGAGGAGGAGGAGGAGGAGAAGGAGGAGGAGGAGGAGGAGGAGGAGGAGGAGGAGGAGGAGGGGGAAAAGAGGAGGAGGAGGAGGAGGGGGAAAAGAGGAGGGAGAGAGCAGGAGCGTCGAGCAGGAGCCGCCGTGCAAGCATCTGTCCTTTCCGCCTCCCCTTTCCCCCCACCCCCTTGGCTTCGGTTCGACGCGTTCCGTCCGCTCTGTCGCGGGGGGTCCCTCCCTGCTGTACTGAACATGCGTTCTCGGTGCCCGTGCAGATAGATGATTCAAAGCAAGAATCGTACGCCGAACTTGTCGTATTCTGCTGGGTACAGCGCCCCATTTGCTGACAGGCATTGCCTTCATCAGCTAGGGGCTTACAGGCGAACCCTACCCCTACCCCCCACGAGTTCTGAGGGAGAGGGTGGGGTTCACTTCGTTCGGGAGCTCCCGAGCGAAGGGAACCCCACCCTCCCCCGCAGAAATCGTGGGGGGCAGGGGTAGGGTTCGCCTGTGGCACCCTATCAGCGTCGCAGTCCAAAAAATCCTCCCCCCGCTAGGTGGGCCAGAGGGCCCGAGAGCTCCACCTGGTCCTGTCCGTGCCCCGCCGGCTGCAGAGGCACCGCCGGAAGCGCCAGGCGCCGCGGGGCGCGGGCCGGCGGCGGGCCTCGGGCGGGCGGCTGGCGGCTGGCGGCCTGCGCGGGCCGATCTGTATATATGTAAATCTGCACTTGCACAC